GACGGACGGGCGTTTGTTTGTCGTGACAGACCAGTTGATCAAATTCTAAACCAAAAGGAAGAAGTAGAAGCAAAAAGAGAAGAAAAGAAGAAAGAGAAGAAAAAGAGAAAGAAGAGAAGAGAAAGAGAGGAAGAAGAAGCAAAAAGAAGAGGAAAAGAGAAAGAAAAAGAAGATGAAGAAGAACCAATAGAAGAGGAAAAATAGAAAGAAGAAGAAGAACCAAAAGAATAGCAAAAGAGAAAAAAAGAAGACGAAGAAGAAGAAATAGAAAGAAGAGGAAAAAGAATAAGAAGAATAAGAAGACAGCAAAAGAAGAAGAAAAGAGAAAGAAAAAGACGACGAAGAAGAAGAAACAGAAAGAAGAGGAAAAGAGAATAGGAAGAAAAGAAAAAAAAAAAGACGAAGAAGAAAAGAAAGAAGAGGAATGAGAAAATGAAGAAGTCGAAGAAACTAAAAAAAAAAAAAAAAAAAAAAAAAAAAACTCAAAAAAATACTGATAAAATACTTACGGTGATGTAAGTGTACACCGACTTGCATCCCTTGACGGACTTCCTGAGCTCGATGGTGGAATTGGAGACCGAGTGTTTCTCCTTCTCCAGGAAAAACATGCGCGGAGACAGCTCAGCCTGACGGTCCAGCTTCAAGGACACTTCGACTTCTGCGAGGGAGATAAATGAATAAATAATATAAATAGATGAATAAAATGAAATAAAAGTAACATAGGGACAAAAAAAAAAAAAAAATCTTATTAATAATTCAGTATCGAACGCAGACCATATACACCGCCATAAGCACAAAAAATGAATAAAATAACAGAAAAAAACTGAAAAGGGATAATTCAGCACAAACCACACACAAATTAATAACAAATAAATAAAATAACACAGGGGAAAAAAACTCTTCCAAACATGAAAAAAGGGAAAATTCAGCATCATACCCCGACCATACACACCACACGCACACAAAACGCACAAACACACACACACAAAACCCGCATCAGTTAAAACCAACGGAATTCTATCACAAGTCGAAATCAGCTGTGACACAATCGCATGTGTATACCCCTAAACATACCCGGCCGGACTGAGATTGTCTTTTTTTTTTTTTTTTTTTTTTTTGCGTCTGCGGCACAAAGGACTCGCTATTCACGACCTCAGTCATAAACGTCAGACATCTCATCTGTCGTTAGGACCTCGAGATCATCCGCCATTCATAACGGGCGCTATAAAAGCTTCATCTGAACCGTAAAGATAATCCCGTTTCTTCCTTTCCTTTGCCTTGCCTTGCCCTCTTGCCTTGTCTTGCTCTGTCTTGCCTTCTGTCTTGCCTTTTTGTTTTTGTTTGCTGCTCTGCTGCTTGTTTTGCCGTCTTCTTGTCTTGTCTTGCCTTCCCCTTCCCTGCCTGCCTTCTCCTGCCTTCCACTACCTTCCCCAACCCTACCCTGCCTCACCCTACCCTACCCTACCTTCCCCTCCCTTACCCCAACCTCGCCCAACCCGCATTTCTACCCGACATCTATTTACGAACCGAAGCGCGGCGGCCAAACATTTAGCGTCGATAAGTTACACACCACTTGAAGCTCCGTCATCGACTGGACGCAAATGGACCGCGGTTGTTCATTTGTTTTTTTCGATGCTTCACTTCGGTGGCTTCGGTGGTTCGGTGGTTCGGTGGTTCGGTGATTCGGACCTCGTGGATAATGGGTCTATTTATGGGGTGGTTGTGGGAGGACGAAATGCTGATTGTTAAGTTGGGACGTTGTTGCGAAAGAAAGAAAAAAATCGAAAAAAAGAAAGATGGGAAGAAATGTAGAAAAGGAAGATGGAAGAATATAGAAAAAAATGGAAAGACATATAGAAAAGAGAGATAGACAAAAATATAGAAAAGAAAGACAGAAAGAAATATAGAAAAAAAGAGAAAGAAATATTGAAAAGAAATATAAAGAAAGATCGAAAGAAATATAGAAGTATAGAAAACGATAGAAAAGAACAGAAGAAAGTAAGAAACGATAGAAAGAAATGTAGAGAAAAATAGAAAGAAATAAAGAAAAGAAAGAATAGAAAGACAGAAAGAAAAAACAACAAATCGAGCCACTATCACATGTTGAAACATAACGTCAAACTTCTCTTTCTTAGCTAATGAAGACACGCTGCAACATTCCCTGCACAATCGCAACGCCCTGAGCAATAATCATCTTTTATCATGTTCCCCTTTCGCAGACGTGACTAAGCCTTGTTTTGCCCCAGCGTGAGTCCTCCCCCGCGGCCGCAACGCCACCAGGAAGCCGACAGAAAGGTCAGGTTCGTTGCGTCATCGGCTGTCGGCGCAAAAATACTATGCTAACATCTTCAGCAGGAGACGCGCGGGTTCTGCAGTAGCTCTTCGTGATTCTGCAAGATTCCTCCCCCCCCCGGGATATTTTGCAACGTTGCAAGGATTCGGACTTAGAAATGACGAACGTGTCGACGTCTTGTTTCGAGACACTCGCTACGTTTTGAGTTTCGAATTTTTAAACGTTACACTATTTTTTACTACCTTTTTTTTATTATCAGATGGACTCGTCTGTTTTAATTCTAGGTCGTCAAGGGGAAGGCATACTAAATTTCACCAAAGAATTATTATTATACTCACCCTCCCTCTACGCGTTCCCTTACCCCTCGGATCCCTCGCAAAGCTCATGTCACGTGATCCCTGCAACATCTAACACCACTAGTAACAATTAAAAGACGACCAGCACCGCAATTACCGAGCTTCGACGCTGACTTTTTTTGTCGGGTCTTAAGAAAGAGAAAAGAAAGGGGCCTAAGAAGAACCGCTGTCTCTCTGGCTGCTTTTACGAGCAATGCAATCACCATCACAACAACGAAGTGTTTGTGCTCGTGGTTATGACTGGACTGCGCCTACAAACCTGATCGTCGCTTCTAAAACTATCACTGCCATTAGGGCTGGGATCACCTACTGAAAATACCATTCTCCTTGCCTTTGTCTGTCTTGTCTCTCTAAATCAGTCTTCTCTCTGTTTCTGTCGCTCTCTCTCTCTCTCCCTCCCTTTCTGTCCCCACCTCTCTCTCTCTCTCTTTCCTACTCTTTCTCTCTCCTCTCTCTGCCCTCTCCCCTCCTCCTTCTCTCTCTCCTCTCTCTGCCTCTCCCCTTCTCTCTTTCTTTCTTACTTTCTCTCTCTCTCTCTCTTTCTACTTCCCCTATCTACCACTCCCCCCCCCCCCCACAAATCAACGCTCACCACAGAGCGCCATACTATTAGGCTGACGGGCACCTCCCCAGCCGTCCCAACCTCATAAGGACTAAGCACCAGCCGCTCGACACAAGGGCCTCTCGCTAACTCGCACATCCCTCAACCCTAATGACAAGGCTCAACGTGTTCTGGCATAAGGGAGTTACGGGAAGGATCTCCGTCGCCGCCGATTTGGGATGCCTTTTTGTGTATGTTTGTGTGTGAGGTATTGACTTAGAGGTGTGCAGTTCCCGGTTCTTTATGTCTGGACTTTTCCTGTCGTGTTCTCTAGACTAAGGCTTGTTATACGAAAGGAAGAATGCATGCGGACAGAACGTTCCTGTCTGTGCGCTGCATCGGCCCAGCTGGCAGCCGTCGACGCAAGTCTTCACGTGAATGGAAGATTTATATCCCCTGATACAACGAACATGAACAATGACGTCACCGGGGCTAACAATAAGGCCACTTTCAGCCTCCCTCCGACGCACGCCCACGCCCACATCAACCATACAAAGAGCCACATAGGGGAGCAGATCTACTCACCGAGGAACTTGGGAACGCCGTGGCCCGAGTATGTGAGGCAGTACTGGAGGGCCACGCACGGGACGTTGGTGCCGTCCTGAAGGGAACACCCCTGCTGGTCCAGGTCGATGATGCCGCTCCTGCCGTTGAAACTGAAGGGGAGAGATGCTGGTGAGAACGAGGAAGTGTCTGGTAAACGTATGCAGAATTAGCACAAAGGTAAGTACGTTCTTGGAGAAGTATCAGAGGGTAGGACTTACCTTATCTCGGACTTGACCTGCACCACAGGTCGCGTGCGGAAGACGGCGACTTTGTTGGAGTCGTAAGCGCCCACCGCCAGGTCGGGGTACTCGTTTCCGTCCAGGTCTTCTCCCGCGGCGAGCGACCAGCCGAAAGTGCCGATGTTCACCTGCGTCAGTTCCTCCGCCAAAAGTACCTGCGGGGAGATCAGATTACAGATTAAATACAGGTCTCTAATAAAAACAAACAAACCAATGTAAATAGGATGTGAGCAAACACCATACTTCGCCATAACCCACTAATATCTTTACTGACCTGAGAGGGAGTCTTGGCCAGGCCTTTCGGTCCCCCGAGGAAGATGTAGACGCCGCCCCGAGCCGTTTCTCCGGCGTACGGGGCGCCCACCGCCAGATCGCCGTAGCCGTCGCGGTTGAGGTCTCCCAGGGACGCCAGGGACAGCCCGAAGTGACTCCTGGACCGGTCGCCCATCAGCCGCCCCGAGAGCTGGAAGTTACGCTGCAGAGAGAAAGAGGGAACTGACTGTCAACACTAAACACACACAAAAACAAAAAACAAATCACAGGCGCACTGAGAGCACAATGAAGCTATTTGATAAAGGAAAACATGACAAAAACGTGAAGGAAAATATGTGAGAGATTCGCTCACCTGCTGCGTCTGCGTGTAGACGGACACCGACCCCTCCTCGAAGTCCGTGGAGGCCGCCGGGTCCGTGTACCAGGGCGCGCCCACCGCCACGTCGTCGAGGCCGTCTCCGTTGGCGTCGAGGACCGTGACGGAGTAGCCGAAGTATGACCCGATCTGCGAGGAAAGTACAAGGTCAAGATTAAAGTATCTCCAAAAACCTACATGTCGAGAGAGAGAGAGAGAGAGAGAGAGAGAGAGAGAGAGAGAGAGAAGAGAGAAGAGAGAGAGAGAGAGAACGCACTAGGAAAAAAATAATAGCACAATAGATTTTCTTTAGCGTCGGTGCTATCAGCTCGAACTGCAAGACTTACCTGGTGACCCGTAATATTGTAGAGGATGTTGAGGCGGTGGTCGAAGACGACGACCTGGCCCGTCAGGTTATTGCCGCGGGGCATCCCCACCGCCAGGTCCTCCTCGCCGTCGCCGCTGAACTCGCCCGTGGCCACAGAGTAGCCCAGGTAGCTCATGTCGTCCTGCTGGGGTCCCTCGCCCGTCGCCAGCGCCTCTCTCTGGTTGAGCAGATCCTGGTAAAACACCTGACCTGGAATCGAAGAAGGGCGTGTCGTCAGTTTCGTCAGAGCATGAACAATTCGCGATAGAACGGTCGCGGTTCATCTAGCTTAAGGATGCTATACAAATCATCAAGGGATTACGGGATGCCAAACCCGCGTCGGACAAAGACCACCCCTTCTCCTCCTGAATGGCCCCTTGAGAGAGTAACTACTGCTATTGTGTTTGGCCCTGTCTTGCCCCGGAGCCTAATCTCGGACGACAGCTCGGCCGACTAATCTCCGTCCGCGGTTCACGCTCTCGCCGAGGGTCCGCTTTGAACCCGCCCGGGAGCCTCGCCTCGTCCGTTTAGCGAAGCCCATAAGGCGCCTTTGCATTTACGAGCTCGAGACAAATAGGGCGGCACGGGCGCGGCGGGCGGCGCGGCGGGGCGGTGCCGGTCCCACATATCGCGGGCGTCGTGTCATGACGTTTAGCGCCATTTGACTTCCATGAGACGCCATCTTTGGACGCATGAAATTTACGATCAATCAGCTGGGCCATTTATAAAAAGCGACCCTCGGGAGACGCGCCGCGCATATCACTGCGGCGGCCGATTCCAGCGCGATGACCCCCATGCACAAAGGCCGCGATTTAACGTCCTTTGAAAAGCGACAGCGGATGATCGCCGAGTTAAGCCGCACGCGCTCCTCGGGCTCTCGTTCCCCGCCATTGTCTGATAATCCGACACCTGTGACTGATCGCGCTCGAGGACCCGGCTCGGGGTGGGAGGCGGCGGCCGAGACGCGGCCCTACATGCATTTCTAACATACAGGACGCGCATGCACATACACACACAATCTCTCTCTCTCTCTCTCTCTCTACACACACACACACACACATCTCTCTCTCTCTCTCTCACACTCACGCACAACACACACGCACACCACACACTTACTCACTCACACAAGCACTCAGAGAAGCGTGTCTCCAATTTCTTCTATTAGGGGCGTCGGGGGCACTGTCAGCCCCAATCACGGTTTTCGTCAGCCCAGTGCCCTCCCGGCTGGCGTATCAGTGTCAGATCCATCCCGATAGAGGCGTCAGCTGGTCATTTCCCCCAGAAAAAAAAGTCGTGGCACGTCATGGCTACTAGAATCACTGACAGTCACCATCGCCGTCGTCAAATCCGAGAGCTAAACTAAAACATTCCTCTATGGCTGGTAATACACCTGATTAATAACATATAAGCCTTCGATTTGACCAAATAAAGAAAAGAAAACAACTCAATACAACCTGTTAAAAGAGATACGACGATAACGGGGACCAACTCAGAGCACACAATAAGTTGACGGCGGTACATACATACATCACTATAAATATCCGCCCGAGTGTGTGCAACGGCTAGCCCACTTGACCACACAAGCTCGCCACACTTCTCTCCCTCTCCTCTTAAGTAAACAATGCCGTCACGCCCACCCCCCCCCCCCACCCCCCACCGACCCACCAAACCCACTCGTCCGCCCACGCCGCTGCGAGTCACGGAATGCAACGCGAAAGCAAAGTTTGGTGTGATAACGGACCGAAATCCCTCACTTGAGATAAGGTTTCTCTGTCTCGTGTGTTTGTGCTGGGACTCACGTGCGTGTTCATGGCCAAGTATTAGTATTCTTTGTTCACCTGCGAGGGCTAACGGGCGGATGGGCGGCGGGGGGCCATGGACATGTTAATTCTTATGTTTTATAGAGAGGAATATTACATTGATTTTCTCCGGTTGTTCTAAGACCCTCGGGTGAGTACCCTCTCGGTGAACAAATTAGGTATTTCACTGGGTTTCTAGTTAAATATTTACATAAAAAACCTATGATTAGAATAATAAATCACCACGGCCATTCTACAATTTAATTCTGCCTTACCAAAACATCAACAAAAGATAAGACAGAGAACATTCTCCCCCTCATAATATTTATCATCGCAACCCTCGCCGCATATTTTATGAGCCGGGATCATAATAGAAAATATATTCATCTCATCGCATTATGATTTGAGTGATAAGTCTCAGCATCGACGACGGCCGCATATGAGGAGGAGGGGCGCCACAGCCTCGCCTCGCCTCCTCCTCCCTCCTCGACGACTGAGGGACCACTGAGGCGATTGAAAGGGTTATCAACCATCTTGTCTCTTTTCATTAATCTAATTCTTATCTCCAGATACATCAGGAATGCAAAGGGAGCCTGCACCTTCTCCTTGAGAGGGTCGAGTCTACCCTGGTTCGTCTTTGGCTCTCCGCTCCGTTAGGAAGAGGGAGGAAATATAAACCGTGGAGAGAAATGGAGAAATATAACAGTCCGTTTTCGAATCTTTATCACGTTCGTCTTTGCCTCTCCGCTCCGTTAGAAAGAGGGAGGAAATATAAAGCGCGGAGAGAAATGGAGTGTACAGTCCGTTTTCGAATCTTTATAACGTTCGGGAAATTTATCAAAAAGGAAAAATAGAAATACAGAATGAAAGGGGAGAATGTAAGAGCGAGTGAGAACTCCCATATATACACCTACCAAGTAGTGTGGATTTTCTCACGTCTAATGGGGTGGTGATAAATTGAACATTTCTCTTCTACAAATTACCCTCCAGTGAACTCCTGACATTTCTCTCACGTCGCTGGCCGCTAATCCTTTGTGTTGAACAAACCCCCAGTATACAAAGACAAACTGCAAGCCACTTCAACCCTTGTTCTCCACTGCACATGACGTCACAGTGGAAATTTCGAAAACAAACAAATTTAGAGATTACCAACGACTCTTTTTATCACCTTAATGAGCTCTTCACACCAATTAGGACAACGAGACAGTTCGTAATTCCCCCGTTACCAATTAG